TCATATTATCATCAAGAACAAGAGATCAGATGGTAGACGCCCTGTTATTATCAAGGGAGCAGAGAAGAATGCAGGTAAAGACTTAACTGAAGATTAGTTTATACTTCCTGCGTAAACACACTGTATACAGACTCTGTCTCAGAAGCACATATACACCATTATTCATGCACTCCATCCCACTTTCACATAGCTTCCATTTTCAGAAGTCCAGTTCCCTTCTTGTCTTGCAATATTTTGGATAAGAGTTAATTGTAAGAGTCGAACAAATTGTCAAGTGGAATGATGAACTTTATTTTTCTTGGAAGTATAGAATCAGGTGTTGAGTTTGTTAGTTTACATTTATGTTAGGTAAAGGTATTTTCATACAGGTTGAAAGAAAGTGAAAGATAATGTCATATTAATGTTATGATTGCATTTCTTCATGACCATTTTCAGTTCTCATGAACCCCAAAGGGATGGTCAATTTCAAGGATGGCAGATTTTTTGTTCTTCTCCTTTGGTACTTGCTGTGGCTTAAAGCATTTAAATTTTGATATTTCCAAATTGGTCATCCTTACTCTTTAGAAGGGACAATTTTTGCTTTGTCCAACATGCACACCTACCTGAGAATAGTAGTTACCCCTTTTTTCCTTTAGAAGTTTTACAAAATGATTTGTCAAGACTTCACTAAACCTTTTGTATGTAGGTATAGGTACTGGCCTCTGTTGTGTATTATAACACTGATATCAGTAAGATATTTTTTAATTTATCTGAAAGTTGGGGAAAAGGGTATAGAGTTGAGATAGTTAGGACTGGCAATTTACTCCTTGTTGACTTTGATACTTGTGAAGCTATATATATGTATAAACACAATCCATAACTAAAGTAGACATGGCACACATGTCATGCCATCCCAGCACAAAGGCATGTATCAAAATTAGAACAATACGAAAGAGGGTATTTTCTTTTTTTTCCATTTGATATGATATTTGACATGGTAAGTTCAAGTCAATTTTTGACATTTCAGGTAACATATATGAAGCATGGCGTTTGTTGTCGCAGTTGGAAAAGCACCACAAAGCAAGAAATACCTCCAAATTACCATATATCGGAAGCAGCACCACTGTATGGGCTTAGCAGTAAGTCTTCAATGAATTAACCCTTAAGAGTGCAGATGCTATAGTATTCTTCCCGAAGAGTGTTAGAATGATACCTCTCTGAATTTTTCCTAAATTTGCAATATTTCTGCTACCTAGAATTTTTTATTCATACAATTTGTAGGATCATAAACAAGTAAATGAAATGTAAATTATGCATTTTCAAACCAGAGCTACCCTTTTTTCTGAAAGTCAAGTGAATGTTCCGAAATCCAAAAATCATTCTCAACGAAAGTAGACAGTTTCGTAAGGGATGAAAGATAACTGGCAGTCTATTATAGCTTTTTAAGGAACTGAAGTATTTTGATTGATATAATTGCATCTGATTCTGTAATATAACCTGTTCTCATCTGTACTTTGTACCAGAAATGTAATTGACACCAATTTTCTTTTTCCTTTGCACTTTCAGTATTTTGTATATTTGTATATTAATCTTGTAAATAAATGTATGTATGTATATACAGTGTTTATTAATGTCTTTGTATATTCATATATATGTATGTATATAGTTATGTCTATATGCATTATAAATGTTTGTGTAAGGCACAGATGCACTCCCACTTTCACACTATATAATGTATTTGTGTAACTGAGACCCTTTTTTGAAATGATGGAGCACATGATACCCCTTCAGCAGATCTGAACCTGAGCTGCTGGCTGGGTGGCGGCAGTGGAGGGTCATCCCCCTGCCCTCCCCAACTGCCACGCCTGGCCCCAGGGACTACCCAACCCTATCTCTGGAATCAGGCCCCAGCCACCAACAGCACTTTGCTGCGCACTTGGCTAGATCTCAGTACAATACATTCATGTTTGATCCAAGTAAGTATAGAATGGAAAATGTGATGATAGTTTTGCATTTGTGTATACTCATGTATTTATCAAACACTTTTCCATCTGAGTCTCCCACATTCTTATTCTTTTACTCTCATTTATGCTCATGAAAACATGCACATCAAATACACAAAATTAACTGAGTCATACATTTGCTTAGTCCTCAGATCAGGCTACCATTTTTTTTCTTCTGAAATTTGCAAACCATATATATTTATCAAATTCCAACAGGTAATTATTATGCTGCCAACTTGCTGCTTCGCACTGGTGGAATTAATGGATGTAACAACAACTGTATCTTGCCAAACTCTTCACAAGGTGTTGGTGCCAAAACTGGATTGAATATCAATGCAGTTAGCAATGGAATCAGTGGGTTAAAAATAGCTTGCAATGGTAAGGATTTTGTATCAGTATGTAGTGGTATGTAGGTACACATTGAACCTACCTACAGTCCTTTTTGTGGACTCAATCTAAAAGAATGGAAGGAAAAATTAGAGCAATTATTCTTAAAAAGATTGGATTAGATTCATGTGTTATCAAGGAATATATATGATTGAATTTGAATGGGATTCAATTTCAGTCTAGTGCAGAGTTTTTCAATACGTTTTAGTCCTTGCAAGACAAATTGTGCCAGAGTCCATAGAATAGACCATGGTATTCACTGCTCTGCTAGCTTGGTGGTTTGGGACAGCAGTATCATTCTTTGGTCATTGGTTTGTTACTGCTGCTGAGCACAGGGTAACACCTGCACAGGCTTGTGTAATACAGCTTCCTAGAAATGGTTGATTTTTGTTATATCACTGATATTTTACTGCAAGATAAACCAGAAACCCTAGCGAGAACTGCAAGTGCTATTAACTTTAGACACAGCTCTTGGGTTTTTGTCCCTTTTGCTCTTCATTAGTTCATTATTTGCTTATCAGGCATATTGATGTGAACATATAATTTTGTATGTACACACGCACGCACGCACGCACGCACGCAGGCGTACACGCACACGTGCACACAACATACAACATACATACATACATAACATTAACCCAGTGCTGCCGGGTAAAAAATGTTTGGCAAGTGGACGTAACAGGATTGTTGGTGTGCATCGGCAGTTGCCCATTTGCGCCCAGCTCATCAGTAGTTTGTGAGCGACATTTGGTACATAAAAGCTTTTATTTTGCTATAATTTATAAAAATATTATAAATTTGAAGGTTTACCTTCATTATAGGTGCTATTGCCTAAAATCTTTACCATATAAATGAAGCCGCTACTATTGGAGAGAAAACAAATAAACATGAATTTGATAGAACATTAATATGCATATGAAATTATGACTGAAAATTCATGGCAACAATTATGCAGAGACCCGCTAAAAGGTATTCCTCCCCCTCCCCTTTTATCTGAGATTAGGGGACCCAGTAAATCAATTGGTAAAAAAAAATTCAAGATGTGTTTGAGGGATATAGAAGGTGGCTCTGCTCGTCTGAGGGTGAAAGCCCACAAAGTTATAATCTGGCTCTGTATATAACTGAAGAAATGTATTAAAATATTGGTATAGACCTTAATCACATCTTATTGTATACTATTGACTTTTGTATTTAAAAAATAAACAAAATCAAGTCAAATAAAAACAGATTAACACATTGTTTTGCAGATGCTTCATGTGGTACAAGCAGCAACAGTGGGAGTTCATTGTCGTCACCAACTCCTTCTCCACGCAACCCATCACCAGAGCAGATGGTTTCCTGCCACATGGGTACCCCTTCACAGCAAACCAATTGTAATGAAGCAGAGCAACCTTCTTCCAGTGATATAAATGGTAATTTCCTTGAAGTATGAAAGGAAATACAATTGGAGATTTGGCAATTCAAAAAGTATTTCTTGAAAAATAAGTTTAAAGATTTTAGTGTGATTTGCTCTTATTCTAGCTATTTCTGCATTACTGACTGACCTTGATCGCCGTGCTCCAGGATGTGAGAAAAAGCAAATTGAAATGGCAGCACAGAAATTGACCTTGTCAGATTACAGCTCAAAGAAAGTACAGGCTGCTAAAGGTATATTGTTCATGATGAATAATTTCTGTTATTAATTTGATAAATGTGAGGACTGATATCAATGTTTATAAAATTTGTCAGATGATTTTAGAGGTGTGGTATGTCTTGTTTAGTAACTACATCTATAGTGATGACAATTTTATTCAGTAATTGAAGGACTATGAAAGTACTTTTTTCTTTAGTAACTGTTAAAGTGTGTGATACTTAAGAACATCTCATTCTTACTTTTCAGCAATGAAGGAACAAGTCAGCTCAAACCCCCGTACTCCAACCTCAAATTGGTCAGGGTATGGCTTTAGTAAGAGTCTCCCAGGCTACATCATACGGCAGAAAATGCAAGAAAGCCGTCAGATGAAAGCAGCACATGTAAGACGATATGCAAGTTGTACTGAATGTAAAGTGTTTTAATATGCCGATGAACGGGACTTTACCTAAACTGCACATCATATAATGAAAGTGGTTTCACGTTTGCATTTTTTAATTTATATTTTGCCTATGTACAGATATTTGTATTGGCATATGTTCATGTATGTAGAGAAATGGGTGAAAGCTATTCTTGAAAGGATTTGAACTCCCTAATGAGGCAAATTTCAGGCCATGTCAGTGTATTTCCAAATCTGAATATAATGATGTCTTGGATTATTATATAGATGTAATGTGATGTATTAAGCCAATGCCAATCGAAGAATGTTACATTCACTTTAGTATTTTTTCTTAAATGTTTCTATGCATAGATAGCTCTGCCAATTTAACCACAAAGAAATCAATTAGTAGATCTTGTGACCTCTCCTTTCCTTGAAATAGCGGGAAAATGCTTTTTTTACTAATGTCACTATCAACACTTACTGTTATGAACTTTATAATTACTATATTATTATTGACATAACTAACGCAGTATTTAATACTAGAAAATATTATCAAAAGTCAAGAAAAATGTAAACAGGTGAGACAGGTAGTTTTCGTAATTGGCTCTTTGTGGAGCCATCTATATTAAAAAACCTAAATCAAACACACACAGTAGACATAGCATTTACGCACATGCATGCCATCCCTGGCGGCATTTGTTCATTCATATGGTTTAAATATGGATATAGGTATTTGTAGATCTGTAAATTTCTCCCATCACTATTCAATCTACCAGTATCAGCTTTCTTTTCTTTTCTTTCTCGGTTTTAGAGCTATCTAAAATGTTTCAAATGAGAGCAACCTCCTTAAAAGGCTTTCTTATTGACAGATGGTATATCACTTTATTAGTAGTAATGAGACACATTTATAATATTCAGAAGGAACCTCAAATGATGATTGGGAATCTTGGCATCAGCAGCAAGATGTTACGACAACCGAAATGCCACCACCTCAAAATCTTCAAAACATCCAGTATCCAAGTAGAATGCCAAAGGTATGAATTTGAATGTTTTGTCATGGCTGTAAGTAATATCTAAGGCTAAAGAAAACTGCAATTATATGTTTGTGTATATGCATGGTATATAGGATTTGTCATTCTCTAATGAGATGTTTATATGTATATAAAGAAGAACCAAATTCTTTATTTTAGAATGCAGTATAATCCAGAACATACTAAACAAAACTTTTTAATATCAATTTTAGGTGGATTTAAGTAGCAGTATTGACCACATATCAGCACACAGATCTCCAGTCACACTCTCTGCTAGTAACTATATGGATTGTGTTCTGCCGAGGCCACGTGAGGCTCGGTCTCCCACAGCTATACAAAATATCACTTCTGTGCTTTGTGATGTCCAGTTGGAGCAGTATATTGGTCAGTTCATGATTTTGAAGCAAGTAATACTCAATATTTTTGCATATACTGTAATTATTTGTGCACTCACATGTATGTAATTGTGTTCAATAACTCTTTTTCCTTCTCAGATGTATTTGCGGCCCAAGATGTTGATCTTCCGATGTTCTTGACTCTTGATGACGCTGACCTCAAGGAGCTAGGAATAAAGATATTTGGACATCGCAAGAAAATTCTTATGGCAATTAAAGGTTTGTGTTCTTTGTTCTTATTACCTTGGGACCCATCTAGCAGAAACTCTCATATGGAAATGGTTCTTCTCAATTTCTCCAACTTATTCTTTAGAGATGCCCACTTGTTGGTCTGTCATGTAAAGCATTTTGTCGATCTCCCATGATGATACCAATTAAGGTTTTTTAATGGTTTCCTGAGTGAGAACCAAAAGGCCTTCCTTTACATAGGTCCTCTCACATTGTCCCTGAGTGTGGTTGCTATATCTTCATGCGTTTTCTTGAAAGGGAAACCTTTGAAGAGGTAGCAAATAGCAGCACAATGGTTGGGATTGTCCATTTTCTTCAAAACTTTTTGCCCACTTCTGTTTAATGTACCTGGAATAGAAGAATAATTAGATACTAAATTTGCATACAAGCTATTAAAAGAAATGGTACATTAATCTCGAACTCTCCTTTCACCCTCAAGCCACAAGATTTTCAGTTTGTACTTGCATAACCATACCTAGGCCTATATACATGATATACTAGACATTTATCTGAATATCCCAAAGGAAATTAGGGAATACCTTAACTGTAGATGTCCAAGATTTTAAAATGGTTTTGCATTTTTCAGATTTATCTTCAAGAAAGCCCTTTTCTCATGGAAACATAAGAACTGGAATTGACTGTAGTTCTAGGAGGGACAACGTGACTACAACCTGGGAATAAAGATTTTCTAAGTTAGGGAACGAAAAGAAAAGGTAACGGAAGGATTGACACATGGAAAGAGAGATTTTGCATTGCATTTTCTGAGAGATTTATTATGAGTATTTAAATTTGTTTACTTAGACATACATTTATATACATACATACAAATATTTATATACTTTCATCCATACATACATACATTTATACACATACACAGACACACAGATTATTATCCACATATTCTGATAAATTTTCCTTCAACGTAAAATAATAATTAAAAAATTATGTTAAATCTTTTATAAATTTTATGAAATTGTTTTACATTCAATTTTCCGAGTATTTTTGGCAGCCAGACTTTAAATTGGAGATTTTAGATTTTTTTTTTTTTTTTTTTTTTTATGATAATTGGTCGTCGGTTGGTAAAAAGTTAGGGATCACAGTAGCCATTATGGTTGAAGGTTTGCAACAGCATTCATTACTTTGTTACATATTTAGTTCTATATTCAGGGTTTATATCACTTCAGGAATATTTTTCTTTATTACCTTTTTTTGTGTACTGTAGCAATTATAATCCTTTTAAAATGCTTTTGATAAGAAGTTTCCAAAGTACTGAACGGAGTAGTAATTATATACGTTTTCTTTTCATACATTTTGTTAAGATTACCTTCTCTTAATTGAAAAGCCATTGGATAAAATATAGACAAAGGGATACACTGGTTTTGTATCCAGTAAACTACAGAAGACATGACGTATTTTTTTATGAATCGTGTGGCCCCATGATCTTTATTTTGGCTTTTATTTTTTTTAGTATTGATCCCCCTAACGTTCTTGGAGTGCATTATCCTAGTGTTCATATGAAATGTAATGGAATGTATTGTGATATTAACTATAGATATTTTATATTATAGGGTGTTTGTTGCCCATTACTTCCAGTTAATGTTTTATATCATCCTGTCTATACGATAATGTAACCCTTTATATATTCGGATTTTACTAATATTGGAAGTTCGTTTTTCTTTTCTTTTTTTTCACTTAAAAACTGAGAAAACTAGCCATTCCATTTTCATTGGTTTTAGAATTTTATATAACTTTTAAGAAAAATATACTTTTAGTTTTGCCTTCAGAGTTCTGCTGGAATGACCAATTTTCTCACGAGGAAACCCCCATGTTCTAAAAGGAAGTTAATGTGTGCGTGTGCAGTTATTTTATGAAAGAATGAGAAACCGCATGTTTCTGGTGAATTTATTTATATTCAATTGGTCGATTTTGTTTGGTTTACAATAAAAAGATTATCCAGAAATGGCTTGCATCTTTCACCTTTCAATAGAAGCAAATGAAAGTCCTTGAATGTACAAATGAGGACCAGTGGTGGATTCAAGGAGAGCCCCCCTCATTGTAGTTAATTGTATCCTAACTGAGTATTACACATAGCATAAATATTACCCCCAATCCCTTGCCTACTGTTGTCATGGGGATGGAGACCGAAGTCCAATGTAGGGGATCACCCATTCCTTGGACCAAGGTCCTTGCCTCAACTAATTTTGCATGGTCTTTTCTCCCCATTCATCATTCCCTTCTGTCCACTTCCTTATATGTGAGAACCGTACTGAACAGGTGAATGGCCATAGGAGACGAAGACTGGGCCCAATGCTGGGGATCTCCCCATCTTGAGCTCGGCCACGACTCAGCTAATTTTGCATGGTCTTTTTCCCCTGCTGGTTTTTTGTTTACGTTCCATCTCCAAGCCCTACTACTATCCACTTCCCAAGGTGTGAGAGCCGTGCTTAATTTAAAGGATGAAAGACTGGCTCTGTGCCAGTCCTGAACGGCCTTAGGGAGTCATGGGCACGGTATTCCCGATTTAGTTGTCTAGCCCTTACCCCTGAAGGGGACCCTGAGGGGTGGACTGTTTCTTTCCCCAACATTGTCTAGGCTCACCATGGCCAATAATGAAGACATTATACCCTTGTTAGGGGCAATGAGGCTTGCCCCATTAAAATAGCCCCACAAATTCAAACTCTCCCGGTTCCGCGACCCTGGGCTCAACTTTGACCACGGCTCTGAACACTACAACTACTACCCACTCCTCAATTCCTACTAATACATTATCCACCCAAGTCAACTCAATCTCCAGGAGACATTCCTACTCTCCCAACTCCAACTTCATCTCTACCCCCACAACCTTCTTCATCAATCACCCCATCCTTCCTTATTAGTACTTAAGAGCCTTATTCTCCACTTCCGTAATACTACCTCCCTCAACACTACTCCCTTTCTACACGTCCCCGTCCCACTACCCCCCACCCCATCTCTACAAATATCTAAAATACTCTATTTAGCCCAGCCAATTGGGACCGATTTTTCGTCTCCAAAAACGGTTACATCAGAAACCCAAGCTATAGCATTATTAACTCTTACCTGATCTCTCTGGCAACTCCATTCCTGCAGAACCTCATCCAACCCTCAATACTTGTACCGGAACTCTCCATCTCCCCAGCAAACTGCCCTATCTATAACAAAAATAGGTCATATTGTGGTGAAGACTTGCCTGCCTCACGAACTATGATGTGATATCAGTACAGCGCTACTCCATTCCTCCTAGAGGTCATCGTAAGAACCCCACAAACATTGACAAAATTACTTTCCGTAGACATGACCTCTTTAATGTCTACATTGGTGGAGAATCCCTCCGTGTCCAACCATATCAACCTCCTCCCCGTCAATGTCAAAACTGCTGGCGTTTAGGACATCCTGCCAAACACTGCCGTTCCATAGACCAACGCCCAATCTGGTCATAACCGGTCAAATTGCTCTGCACATTCACGCGCATGTGCTAACTGCGGCGGCCCCCATAATGTATTTTATAGGGGACGCCCCACCTACAAGTTCGAGTCTGAGGTAGCAGCTCTCAGATACAAAAATGGAAGCCATACAGGAAGCACGTCAACGAGGTTTCATACTCACTACTCCAGTAATGTTGATCGCTCTACCCTTCCCCCTTCCTCCCAAGATGTTCCTACACCCTCCCCTGTACCTATCCCTCCAACATCTTACTTCCCCACTTCTTCCTCCAACCTTCCCCAGTCAAATTCTGCCACTCTAAATCCACGCTCTAATCTCCACTGCAGCCCCAACATCTTCCCCTCTCCCACCCCGCACTACCCGCAGCAGATAAACTAAACGTTCCACCCCTTCTCCTACCACACATCCGCCTCCACTTACCTTTGCCTCTACTCTTCAAACACCAGTCTCCCCCCCCCCCTTCATAAGAAAACCTTTGTCTCGCAAAACTCTCCAACCAACTCCATTTCAGGAACTCTTGAAGATATTCAAAACTATCTGCTCGAGTTCCAAAAACCCTCATCCACCCTCAAATTCCACAACTCCCGCTCCCTCCACACTCAAAGTGACTGTCGATACCCATCCTCCTCCTCCTCATATTCCCCCTACACACCCTCCTCCTACTCATATTCCCCCTACACATCCTCCTACTCCTTCCCAACACAGCCCATCCCACTCAGCTCCAACTACACCTACATCAACCCTCCCTCCCCATACCCTCAATCCCTTCCACTCCCTCTTGGATGCAATGTGAATCTCTTACGTCACACTATGCCCTTCCCCAGATCCCTACATCCTGATACTACACCCCTCTAATTCCTTATCTCACCCTCTAGCTCCCCCTTCAAATTCTCCAAAACGCACCGTAACCGTTATCACTCGTAGATCAAACAAGTTTTAGATCTGCATTCGAATAATCGCAGTTTCCGTTCTCACAGACCAGACCGTCATATCCTTTCTTCTTATAATCCATCCATTATCTACCTCCAAGAGACTTTGATATTTATTTTACTCATCCCCCTATACCAGTTCCTAACTATCATTTTGTCTCTTCTCACTCCCTTTGTATCGTCTATACATATTCATAAGAAAACACCTTATGTTATACCTCCCTTTCAAACCAGTCACGTACAGTTATTCGTATCTTTCTTCGCCGTTGGATCATAGTTATTTGTCTACTTCTCTCCTTCCCACCCCACTGACTTTGTTGCCTTTGAAACTCTTAATTTCCCAACTCCAGCTATCTTTCCTTGTAGTTAGTGATTTTAACTGCCGTCACACTATCACCACCTCCCTTGGCCAATCCCTAGAACGCTTCCTCGCCGCAAATGATCTTATTCTTATTGATTCAGATTGCCCCACACACTTTGACATATGTACGCAATCTTTTTTTTCATGCCTTTGACCTCTATGCTCCCCTTTTCTTCATTTAGATTTCCATTGGTCAGTGCTAGACCACTTTCCCTATAGTGACCATTCTCCAGTACTCCTTTCTCTTATCTTATATGTACCACTTCCTAATCCCCCACGCTGGTGCTCCGATAGAGCTGACTGGCGTACGTTCACTTCACTCTCTACTATTCTTACCCCTCCATCCCCTTTCTCGTCCATTTCAGATATGCTACAATGTTTCACAACTACAGTCCTAAGAGCTGCCTATACAGCCGGTCCTTGAACCTCAAGACCTTATACCTCTAAATGTGTTCCATGGTGGAATTCTGATCGCACCAAAGCGCTTCCCTTAAAACGTGCTACCTGGAACAGTTATCGCTACAAACGAGGCACCCCTGAAAAGAGCATCCGCCTATCTTTGTCGTACAATTCAGAACAGTAAAACAAATAGCTGGCGAAATTGCGTTTCTTCAATTACATCGTCTACATCTGTTTCAACTGTTTGGCGTCGCATCCATAAGCTAGCAGGCAACCCTCCCCCCATCCAGCCCCCGTCCTCCATATTCGAGATACTCTCATCTTTGATCTTATCCAAGTCGCTATTTCAGCCAGGTCAGTAGTGGATCTCACCTTTCCCCACACTTCTCTTCCATTTAAACCATCAGGGAACACGCCCCAATCATCTTCACCCTATCCTCTGATGAGTCCTATA